ATTAATTTTTGTAAGTGCATTTCCTGAAATAAATAATGATGTTTGTTGTCCATGTAATTGGGGACCAGGCTTTTTTCTGTTATATTAGTCTACTTTGTTTTTGGTTAACGAAGTATTTTATTAGGGATTTGTGCAGGTGTGATTGATTGTGTATTTTGGTGTAAGATTATAGACTTGTCCTCACATGATATAGTCTTGTACTTACATAGGTTATATTTAATAATATTTTTAATATTTTATTTTCATATTTTTATATTTTTTATTATTTTAAAATTATATAAAATATTAATTAAAATAAATATTAAATATATAAAATATATTGTATATATTTAAGATGTTAACAACTAAAAAAAACTTATAATTGTAACATTGTCAAAGCTATAATTAATAAAGTCTTTTCCGTTGTTCCTGTTTATTGGCCAAAAAGGACAAAAAGAAAAAGAGTAGTCGTCGCCCGTCATTCTTGTATCATCCCAGTACAAAAACAGATGAAGTCTTGGTCTCAACTTTATTCTCCATTCTCCCATATTCCTCACATTCGCCATCGAAAAAATAAAAATTATATAATATAATGGGCTCACTTAAAAAGTCACCTTCATCTTTCCATATGCTCCACATTTATATATCAATACTTATTTATTTATTTTTTATATTTAATTCAATTCTCTTTACGTTCTTTAAAAGACACTAAATTAACATTTACATTGTGTTTAAAATTATTGTTTACAACACTTCTCAGTTTTGTAGGTATAAATCGCTAATTTTACCCTGAATGATTTGTTGGCCAAACCCAAAAAAGAAAAAGACTTGAATGATTTTCTTTTAATTGGGTTAAAGTTAAAAATGTGGAGTTAATATGGTGCATAAAAGCGCATCTTAAATATAGTGTCACTTATTTTCTTTATTTTAAAATAATTTTTATTTTTTATTTTAATATATTTATCTTTTTTTAAATTTATTTTAAATTAATTATAATATATTTTATTTTTAAAATAAATAAATATTTTTTAAATTAATTATTATTCATTTAATTTAATTATTCATCATGTCACAAAAAATCTTACCTTACTTTCATGTAGTGTAATTTTCTTTTTAAGATTAATATAAGTAAACAAAGTAAATTATTAAAGTCAAATTCTTAATTTAAAAAAAGTTTAAAAAATATAATTATTTAAGACAAATAAAGTAATTATTATAAAAAATAAATTAAACATTAAAATTGGTCATAAATTAAGGAAAAATATTCTATGCAACATAAACTATGTTGGATTATACTAAAAAATTAATCATTAAATTAAATAAAGTACTCCTAAAATTATATTTAGTTTAAAAAAATTATAAATTAAATTATAATATTTAAAAAATATTATAATATTTAATTAATTAAAATATCCTCTCTCTTTTTATCCCACAAATTAAATATATAAAGGTAAGGTGTCAAACCTTCAAACTCAATAATTCATCTCTAAACTTTAAATATTTAAATTTAATTAACCAAAAATTTAACTTTCACTAAAATCTTGAAAAAATATTCTCCATCATTCAAATTTCCCAATATTTCAAATGTATATATATTTATATAAATGAGGGTGAGGGTTTTTCTCAATTTAATAATCATTTTTCTAA